CTGGACGCTATATCTTATGGTAGCCAGGCACCATCAGCTTTCTTCACCACCTTTGCTTATGTTCACATTTTTCTTCAGCAATTGTGTTGGGAAGGTGTGCATCCTGGAATGCCAATTTAATAGGACAATGTGTTTTTGCAATGAGTAAGTGCTTGGGTGGAGGCCCAATGTCCATCTGGCCTGCACATGTTTTAAATGTGCAATGTGGACAAGGGAACTCATCCGTGCAACCCAGCGCTTCTCAATCTGTGGGTCGCAACCCCTTTGGGGGTGGAATGACCCATTCACAGGGATTGCCTGAATCATAACAGTAGCAAAATGACAGTGATGAAGTAGCAATGAAAATATACCTATTCCCATGTGAAACAGCTCCGGCTCCTCAGAACGCTGCTGGGGCCTTCCCAGACAGACAATCTGCAGTGCAGAGCCAGGCTTCTCCCCAAGATGGATTCTCCACCACACACAAAAATCAAGGAAGGCCAACTCTTGGAAAGCAGCACGGTCTGTATTTCCAGCTGCACTGAGGAATGAGAGGAAGCTGACCCTCCAAACAAAAATCCAAGTACCATTCTCTTCACACAGTATATTCTGACAGAACCTCAAGGTGGGGGGACTGGCGGGCTTCAACAATATATAAGCAGCAAGCCCTACTTCTGGAGTTATTTATTTTCCATTTATCTCAATCGTATTCTAAACATATGTACAGGTCCATAGACATGGTCCAAGAAATAAACGGTGACGATGCAAACTGGCATCTTTGCGGGAGCAGACAGCCTCATCTCTCTCCTGCAGAGTGCCTGATGGGTGTGGACCACGGGCCTGTGGTTAGCAGCCTGACACAGAACCCAACCACACCATCAGAGCTCCTTGGCACTATAGTAGCAGCAGTATCCGTGGGACTTTTAACTGCCCACTACAATGATGTATGCTGGCAGACCACATTAAATCCTCAGTCCCTGCTCTCCAGAAAAGTAACAACAGTAGCAATAGTAGCAGGAATGGTGGTAATGATAAGAGCAGCTAGTAAATACTAGTGCGGAGGAGAAAGGAGTCAAAGCTAGTGCTCTCTGGCCCCATCATGGAGCAATACTGGTAAGCACACACACTCCTGGCATACATAATCTGATGGTGCTTTCTTAGACCTGTTTCAGTCTTATTGCTGGCCTTTTGGCAAAACCCTTTGGCTCTTAGGCCAAGAATTTTTCTGTCTTGGAGAAAGGCTGCTGAGGAAGCCACCTCTCTCAGATCCCTTCATCTACTCAGCCCTCAGAGGGTAACTAGTTAGAATCTGGAGAGGAGACATGTCATCCACTAGGGTCCCTAACATCCAACAACCTATAATTGCATCCGTTGCCTCAGTTTGTGGTACCCAGGCCACATCTTTTCCTTTTGCGTGTCCCTCCGCTGTAGCTCCAACAGAACTATGCCTGGGCAGAGAGAGGAGCAGAGGAGAATCACACGTGCTCACACCCTGGCTACATAAAGTACGCTCCCGTCATTGCTCATTTCCACAGGTGGACCATCCCCTCCTCTCACCCACTCCCTTGCCTCCCCCCACCCACACACCATCGCTATGAATGCTCAGAATCACAAGCAGCGGGTGACAGTCAACCAAACAGGAACGGGCACCATTTTCTCGCCAGCACGGCCTTTACCTTGTTCTCCTCTGGCGTGAAGAGGATTCGGAACGTGGATGGCACTCCTGGAGCCACTTTGTGGCCAATATCTTTGGGGCTGATTACTTTGAAGTAAGGGGAACTTTCCTCAATGACCTTGACCATCCTTGGAATCTGCGAGAAAGACACATCACGATGGACACTGTGCATGTGGCAAAGCATCAGAAGCAGCACAGGACTAGGAGCGACACTACTTCAGTGACCTGGGTCAGGTCTGAACTTCCGTTTCCTCAACTGTAAAGGGAAACGACAGTGCCTATTATCTTTAGTTGCATGTCCACACAAAGTAGGTACTTGACAGATTGAAGCATTGGGTTTTATTGACATTATTATCATTCATTTTTTATTATTACTGGAACTCTTTGTTCATTGTACTACTTAAAGGCAACTAGCTTCAAAGACTAACTGCTTAGCCAGCTAAAAGCCACACCTGCAAAGCAGAATTAATCTGGATTTCCGAGTGTTTGAGAACTGTTCTGGGAGGAGGTCACATTTATTGCCCAATATGCCACTAAATTCTCACATTTACTGCCCAATGGGCCACTAAAGCCTTTGAGTTTCACTATGACTCCCATTGTCTGATGAGGAGACAGACATTTGCCCAAAGTGGCCTAAACTTGACACAGAGTGAAAGTTGGGAGTCAGCTCCTGTCCTGCCTCCACCCTCCCTCTATATAGGTCATCCTAACAAAACACCACCGACAAAGAACAGAGAGCCAAGGACACCAAGGCTGAGAAGACAAGCAGAAACGCATTTAAGAATTCAGGCAGAGATCATCCTAAGACTAGAGATTGGAGGGAGAAAGAAGAGGTGCATGCAGATCTGCTAGGAATGGAATGGGCTTCCTGGAAAGGATGATGCTTTGCAAACTTGCTGGGAATATTTTTAGTAAGATTGTCATTGTGGCTTCCAAACAAAAAGGAAAGCAGCAACAAACACGACAACAGCAACAACTATACCCACACCCCTCACTTAGCAACATGATTCCAAAGACTAAGTCAACACGACAACAGCAACAACTATACCCACACCCCTCACTTAGCAACATGATTCCAAAGACAATGTGTGAAAATTGGCATCATGTGAAAATGGAGGATGACTATATCACTGTATAACTTCCAAACCACCTTATTGCTTAGCTGCCAAATTACAGCTTTGCATCGCTATCAAATTACACCATTATACACCTACTAAACCACTGAGAATAATGACCCAGTCAAGTTAACACATACCCTTAACCATCCCAGCCAGTATCACTCATCCCCCAACACAGCCGTTGTACATCATTAATGCACAAAATAGTTGGATTGTTAGGCTTTTTATTACTGTTATAAATGTGGAATATCAGCTAATGAGTTATTTGTTAAGTGAGGTGTAGCTGTATTGGTTGTGTCTGTCTTAGAAAAAGTATAGCCAATTCTCCTTATGAGCAAGGATGGCTAGACTTTGTCTCACAGACTTTGGACATGTTATCAGGAAAGACCAGTTTCTGGAAAGGACATCATGCTGGGTATAATAGAAGGGCAACAAAACATGAGGAAGGCCCTCCGGGAGACGGACTGACACATAACAGTAATTATGTGCAGGATGGTACAGGACCAGGCAGTATTCCGTTCTGTTGTGACCACAGGGTCACTATGAGTGGGGACCAACTTGATAGCATCTACAACAAGAAGAGCCATCTTTGTTTAGTGCTCTGTGGCAGGCACTGAGCTAGGTACTGTATGTTCATGTTCTCATCTAATATTCAAAACACCCCATTGGAAAGGACACTATTACTGTCCCACGCCTTGATGAAGTGCAGTTATTTACCCAAGGTCTGGAGCTTTGAGATGGCACAGCTGTACTATGAACCCAGGCTAGACTGACTCTGGGTACTGACAATTGCAGCCCAAATAGAATTGTGCTGTGGGTTATGGAGTGACCATGGCTTGTTCTGATCTTGGTTTAAAAAGACAAAAATCCCATGCCAGTGAGAAAGTAGTCAGACATGGGTGGCACTTAAGGCTCCTCAGTGGTCCTTATCTGACTGACCCTGTGGTTTCTTCTGAGACCCTGAGCGTATGCAGTAGAGAAAGAGCCTACATCAGCTACCATGACATTGGGGAATAGCTTACCCAAGAACAAGCCTGCCTAGATGAAAAATCTGTGGCTTAGCAGTGGGACTTTCCTTTTTCGCAAGCTATCCCCAACATTCTGGCTGCATCTGACCAAGATGTTACCTATAGGAACTGAGTGCCTCTGGCAGACAAAACTCACACATGCCCTTTATCCCTGAGTTATTCATATATGCTTCCTGATAATGACTCCTTGTTTAGGGTCAGGAGAAGTGGCCAAAAGTTCCTTTAGACTAGTTCCTCTCTACTGTTAATAACCCCAAAATACCTGACCAAGCGTCAGCCGTAGAGGAGAAAGGAAGGAAGAGAACTGAAAGTGAGAAACTGAGTTAGTTGGCAGTCGGACATGACGAGAGGAGAGTCCTGATATCTATATAACGGGCGTCTTCTTGAGGTCTAGGAACATTATCCTGAGCACCTCAGATTATTCTTCTTCTCTGTTTGCCCTTTTAGCTTCTGTCCCCAAAGCTCTTCTTGCAAACACTGCAGCAAAGAACTAAATGTACCATTTTCTCCACAGTCTGACTTTGCTGTGACTAAATCACCTCATTGATCCCTGACAGGCATCACTGATTCCTTTAATGAGCTACTGCACTGAATATAACCACAAATCTTCTCCTTTGCCTTGGATTCTCACATCATCTTCACTTACTCCTTTTCTCCTCGTAGGGTTTTTTGCACATCTTTAGGCTCCTGTCCCTGTCAGTAGTCCTATTTGTCTTTGCACCGGAAGTTCGGCATCTGTCAGATGCCTTCTTCCCCATCTGGCTACTTCTCACACTGAAGAATGCTTCATACTTACCTTCTATGTCATTCTTTCTTGTTGTATGTGAAGGAAATGCTTAGGCATTTCATACTTTTTCCTTGAGATAAACTCAAGTCACCTTTAAAGAGACATACAAAGGCTACAAAATAAACTCTCGTTTGCAATCGCAAAGGGAAAGACCAGTATCTCCCAAAGTATGTGATATCGCCCCCCTGAGGGGTGCTGGCACAATCCAGGACAACTGCACAAACAGATGCCTACACTTTATCCTGGATTATGGGCTATATTAGTACAAAAGTTTTTCATTGCCAAGGGGTAACTAGTAATTTTTTTTTCTGAAAAGGGGGAGGTAGGCCAAATAAATTAGGGAACTTACAGCACAGGCAGTGGAAGTCTATATGTAAAAGGGAGGAGACAAAACAGAGTGGGCCGGGTAGTTGGCCTTTTTTCAAAAAAAGAGAAAAAAATATATGGATTTTGAAGACTTGACTTGTGAAAATACACTGGCTCGGTGATTGCAATTCCTAAAAGTAGAGTGCAAGTCTTGAGTTAGGGAGCTGGTGGATCTAGTTCAGAGGACTCAAGTATTCGTAATTAATTGTCTCATCTTAAATCTAAATCAACTGACCTATGTGAAAGTTGCAGCCTATCCATTTAATCGATCCACTAATTCAACAGACAGCACACGGGTTTGAGACTCACTGCTTTGGGGGCACAGTTCTGTGATTTGAACAGAGTAACAAACAATCCGATACTGCCTTGAGCTTATTGAGCTTACAGTCAAAGAGCATTCTTTCCAGTCTATTTGCTTAGATCTTTCCAACTAAAAGACTTATTTGAGATTCTGTAGGCTTCCCTTTTACTTCATCCCTTTTCATGTGTCCTGGAAATGTTCAGCCATCCCAGGGGACATACTTACCTTGTCATTGTTCCTCAAAACCAGTGGGACTTCATAGACCTCACAGGGAGAATAATTCTGAAACACAATTTCTGATGGAAAGGGCTGAAATAATGCCTGATCCAGGTCAATCCCTGAAAACTGAATTCAAAGAAGAAATTAATCACACAGTCAGAGTGACAAAAATAATGGGAGAAGTTAATAAAATACTAAAACTAAGATACAATTAAAAGGGTGCAAACCACTATAAACATTAATAGTCATAGCATGAATGTCATATTCATGAACTTCATTCATACAAGAGGAAGTAGAAATTTTGGAACTGAAAGGAAAAAGAAGATGAAGTGTAATGAGAACAGCAACCTCATCCTGACATTTCTAGCAACGGTGAGTGAGGTCATTTGAACGAACTGCCCTATGAAGTAACCTGAAAAGCTAGATCAACAAGATCTACTGGAAGGGCTAGAGAGCCGATAAGAGTGACAATTACCAGCCAGACTCCAGGACAAGACTGAAAACTCGGTGCAGGGTAGTCGTCGCAGGGGCGGTGTGTGTAGAGTGAGTACAGAGAGTCGGTCATCAGAGAATAAGGATAAATTGGAATAAGAATAAACTGGAAGACTGAACGAAGAGAACATTATCACAAGGGCTCAAATAGTTTCTACAATTTTTCAGTTATAACATGTTACAACTACGAACCAAAAACTGCACAGCAACAAAAATATGCAAATTTAGAATGATCAGGTATAAAACAATAAATGAAAATTAACAGTTGCTGCAGAGTAATATAATTCATACTCATTACATATAAAAAAAAGAACCCTGGTGGTGCGATGGGCAAGTATTAGCCTTCTAACCGCAGCATCGGCGGTTCACATCCACTAGATACTCTGTACAACAGAGATGAGGTTCCTGTGAAGATTTACAGTTTCTCGGGGTCGGGGAAAGGGTAGAAAGGGGGGAGCCATCACAAGCTCGGATACATAGCCCCCCACCCCACGTGGATGAATAACAGAAACGTGAGTGAAGGAAGATGATACGAAATAATAATAGCAATATATAATGGATCAAGGATTCAAGAGGGTGGGAGGGTGAAGGAAGGGAGGGGTAAAAAGAGACGCTTATACCAAGGGCTCAAGTAGAAAGAAAATGTTTTGGAAATGATGGCGACATATGTACAAATATGCTGGACACAATTGATGTATGCGATGTTATAAAAACTGTAACAGCACTCAATAAAATGATTTTAAAATAAAAAGATGTACAGTTTCAGAAATCCAAAGGAGCAGCTTTATGCTGTCCATCCAGAGTCACTATGAGTCAGGACAGACTCCATGGTAGTGGGAGTGGATGTACCCCAGGAAATAAAAGGAAAGACTGAGAATTTGGATACAGAATTGAAAATGATTTTTAATAGGAAAATCAAAATATAAATTCTACAATTTTTAAATTTTTTATTATTAATTGGGAGTTGATACATATATCATTTCATAGGTCAATCACATCAAGCAGAATTGTACAATTGCTACCATAATCAGTTTTCAAACATTCTTTTTCTTCCTGGACTCCCTTTTACTGCCCCTCCTCTCCCCCCAACTACTGTATCTCACCCCTCCAAAACCCTTATTATACTGCTGTCCCTATAGGTTCATCAATCCTGGGTTTTCATCTACCAAAGCACAGAAAAACATAAAACAAAACTTCATGAGGGTAACCTCCAGTGACATACGCCTCTGAGAGACACCCTAATATGAACAAACAAAAACAAAACACACACACAGAAAATGTTGAAAACCAGATCAAGTCCAGCATACATCAGAGCAGGGATCAACGAACACAGTTTTAACTGTTCAAGTCAGACTGATGCCTTTGAACCTCTACACTCATCTCTCCAGTGCAGTCTGTCTGTAACCACCTTCCTCCCATCCAGTTGTGGATAGAAGGAGTTCAGCAGAGACTTATTTCCTGTGCAATTCTACAAGTTTAAGTTCTTATCTTAATCATAAAAATTTTAAAAATTCAATGGGTATATTTAGTAGCTGATTAATTACAACTAACCAAAATAATAATTACTGATCTTAAGAGCTAGCCCAGCAGAAAATAACCAGAACTAAGCAGGCTGATTGACATGAAAGAAAATACAGAAGAGTAGGAAGCTATATAGATGATACCAAAAAGATTTAAAATAGGTACAGCTGGGGTCTCAAAAGAAGAAAACTAGAAGAAAAGCAATTTTTTATGAAATAATGGGATTTAAAAGAAGAAATCCCATTCTGAAGCACAAATTAGAAGTCCATGGAAAACAAAGATTTAAAATAATTGTAAAGGAGGCCAGAAGAACAAAAGATTATTAAAAAATGAATATTTAACTTCTAGCGAGTGAAAAATATACTGATAGCTGACTTCTCAGTATTAACAACACAAATCAGGTAAGAACCAGAATACATATATATCTTTAAAAATATCTTCTGAAAAATAATCCCTCTGAAAACACAATAGTGTTTACGCAAAGAGTTTCACTTCAAGAATGAAGGTGAAATATGGACATTTTCAGAGAGATGGAAATGGAGAGGAAATTATCATCACCATCTCATACTCAGCTCCCTCCCCTCAAGTGGGTGCCAACTCAGAGTGACCCTGTGGGACAGTAGAACTGCCCACTTATCACCACCTTCTAAAGGAAATACCAAATGATATGCTCTCCGGAGAAGGAAATTCATCTCTGAAGTGTGCACTGGCAAGAAGAGTAACCGAAGGGTGAATCTGCATGAGTATGACAACATGCACGCCCCCATTCCTTCTGAAACCGAGCAGCCATGGGATCTGATTTAGCCAGTGAACTATGAATGGCGGTGATCTATGGCAATTCGAGGTAAAAGTTTTAAAAGCCAATGTGTCATTCGCCACATCCTCTCTTGTTGCATTGATTTTAGAATGTGAGATGATTGTGAGATGAAAACCTATTCTTTAGCGTCCAAACCCACACCTATGTTAGTGAGAAACAAGCCAGAATAGACAGGAAATAGCCACTTTCACACTTCTTCTTTCTTTCTAGCGATAGCAGCTCGGGTAGGAAGGGATTGATATGGTGATTACAGTAAGAAGATAACTTAACTGGGCTTGGCTAATGTTGTTCTTGGACTTATTCCTAACTTGCAAACAGCAGTGTCAAAGACTTTGTAGAAGTAGCTAAGAAAGTACCAAAATCAACAAAGGTAAAAGGTCAGGCATGAAACCAACCAACGAGAGATCAGTTTGCCATGCAGGTGCTCTAGCATGCGCACGTGGCTCCAGGGCTCACTTTAGATGCTAAGATGACACAAACAACTACCTTTTGATGCGTTGTTTCCCCCATATCCAGAAGTTCAATGATCTGTGGTCGGCACATCACACGTGTGTTTGCCAGTTTCTGCTCTGTGGTGAGGGACATTTCCTTCAGGAACTCTGAGGGTGTCAGCTAGAATTCAGCACAAAAGATTCATAAATGGTTACAATTTTTAAAAAGTATTTTCTAAGGGCTGGTAATGAAGAATTTGTATCTGAAGACTCCAGGATAATCCAGGAATTTCACTAAACTCCCCCTATAAAATATTTAAAATAACTAAATTACAAGTAGTCCCTGAGTCACAAATGTACGATTTATATGTAATCCAATAAACCTGTGGTTACAAACCAACCCCCAATAAAGCCTTTTGTATTAAAATTTGAGGTACATGCAATAGTTTCTACAGGCATTACTCTGCTATGCACATCAGAACACTGTTATTATTCTGTGTTTTATGTTAAATATGGTGTGGTACATCTAGAAATGTTTCTTTAATGTTGTTTATTCATAAAAGGAACACTATATACTAAGAAAAACACTCGACTGCCTGAGGTTAGATATGAACCACACCCAACTGTTCAGACTTAAGACTTAAAAATTGGTTTGAAAGGGAATGAGTTTATAATCTGGGTGCTGCCTGTGCACTGTAGAAATACCACTTCTTCAGCCCAGTAACTGGAAATGACAGGTGGTGGCTGTTTACAACTTTGAGGAGATCACACAAAAGAACCAGGCAGGGAGTGTGTGTGTAAAAGTCAAGAAACTGCACAGAAACATGTCCAAAAAGTTGAACACTTAGGCTCAGAAGAGCCTCTGAGCTAAAATTACTTATCAGTTTTTGGAGCTAATAAATTTGAAATATTTCTACTTCTCAACAGAACTTAAAACATGCAATCAAAGCTACTAGGTGTTTAACTATCATTGTTACCAAAAGCTAAAAAACAATCCTACAAAATGTAAACTGCCTGGGAAGTGTATTTTAATTGCTCAGGAAAGAGTTGGAACTGTCCAGAAATCACAGAAGCACTTGTAGGTCTTGTTTTCAAAGCGCCCCGGTCCTCATCAACCCTAGCAGATAGTCGTAGTCACATATCCCAATAAGATTTTTAACACCTTCTAATGTTAGGAGGGGAAAAAGATATAATATACCATAACAATAAAACTAACCCAGCAAGAAATTAGTCACAAATTGTTTCTGTCTAAAAACGATCATGTGCTTAGTTATTGTTATTCTAGGATGTTCACATTATTCTAGGGACTACTTCATATGCAAGGCAATTATTATCACTGGTAGCAATATGATGCTTACGTATGTGCCAGCACTTTTAAAAACATCCAGGGACGCATAATTTAGCTGAATGATTGTGCCGTAGGTTAGAGCCAGTGCTCTTCACGAATGTTTATTTCCCTGCAAATTTAATTTCTGTGGTTTGAGTACATGAAGATGAATGCTTCCAACTTGCTTTCTAAATTCCATTTGATCGGAACCAAGATCAGAATAATACAATTTCTGGAGACATCATCTGCGCATTGGTGATTTCAGTAAAAACAATAAGGATCTAACAAGCAAAGAAGCTCCGGCATTATTTAAATAGGCAACAGCCACCACCACCAAAGGGGATATGAGGACTGATTCTGCTTTTGTAATCAGAATGCAACTTAGGGCCAGCTTTTGAAACAAAGTAGCACTATTGCTGCCTACTGTGAAATTTTATTAATGTTGCTTATATTGTGTAGCTCATGATCTCATTCCCATTGAATTATTATAATTCATCACGATACATATGTACATACATAGAATTTTAAAGGTGAGGAAAAATAATAAATATATTGCCTAGCTGCCAGAGAGTCATCATTATTCGCCACAGCAGCCACAAACAAAAATAATCAACGAGGCAATAAAGTATTAGGTTGAGCCACATGAAATTTCCAGTATTTGACTATTTTTGAACTACACAAATGACGATTTCATATGGCTCACCCTAATATTTAGAATGTAATCTTCCCTCAAGGGATTAACTGGAGCAATTCAAGCTTCTACTATGAAGGATGTATGTCTGTAATTTCATAAACTTCTCAAGCTTTGAGAGGTGCCTGTGCTCTAAGCAAGCTACCAGCTACCATGTTAACGACCTTGGCATCCATCCGACAGTCTCTGTTTGACATTCTGAAAGTGTATGACATATTTTAAATAGTAGCCTCTTGTACATTACCATTTGGTTTGTTTCGTCTTCTGTAACCACCTTCGGGCTCAAAGGTGGCAAAACCTTGCTTTGGAAGCCTTTAAGCATCTTGACTAACCCCGTCTGAACAGCCCCCATGGACTTCTCCAGTCGGCTACTTGTCATTTTGGGCTTTTTCTTGGATCACCTATGAATGGGGGAAAAGAGTTTTAGAACAAATACAGCGATACATCCTGCACTAAGATCACAGATTATTGATTTCAAATGTAGAAGATATGGGTCTTCAAATTACATGAAATACTTAGAACAAGCGTGTTAATAAAAGAGTCCACTCTATGTGACTAATGCAGATTTAGCCTTATCTCAAATCCCAGGATGTCTTTTTGGGCCGACCTAGGGATTCTTGAATAAGCTTAGGAAAGACAGGATATTCCAGCAGTTTGTTCTGCTTGCTACCTTTACTGTTCCACTGAAAAACAAAGCAAACACCAGTGCAACTTTGTCTGCATATTTGACAGTTCGCTTCCATAATATGTACTGTAATCCTCCAAACAGAAGAATCAGGCTTCAGGCCCTAGCAGCTGGGCAGAGACTCAAAAGCAGCAGCATGCTGGGGGGGGGGGGGTGGAATTTCTGGAAAAGGTCAGAGCTATTTTTTTTTTAAGCTCCTTGGAGCCTCCAGGTAATAACTCAAAAGGGCAAAAGAAGTATATGTTGCTTTAGGAAAGTAACAAATGAAGTATGATAATGGAGCAGTATTTTCCCAAAACTTTTAAGCTTTCAAAATCCTTCATCCAACCGAAAAAATGACTGGAGCACTCCAACAAAGGAACACGAACCCCGAAGTCTTCATGAAGCCGAACAACAGTTCACCTTCAGTGGTAACAACGGTCTGCTCTAACTCTTCAGAATTAGCTGTCTGAGGACCTGGCGACAACAGCCACTTGGAAGACGGAAGGAAACGTAGGTGCCTGTAGCTTCTATTAACGGAGGAGGAATAACCGAGAAACAAAGCAGTGTGAGGACGGTTGTGCAACTTGAAGAAAGTAATCAAATTCACTGAATGGTGCGTGTAGAGACTGTTGAATTGGTGTGTGTGTTGTGTATATCCTCAATAACACAAGACTGACAATAAGCATTTCATGTACTTAATTGTAGAGCTCAGATTAAAACAAAGTTGAGGACAAGAAGGGAAATTATATATATGTACACACACACGTTTTCCAACAAAGAGGCAATTAAAGACAAATGAAGGCGGGGTGGGAGGGTGGGGGAGGGGGGAGAAAGGACATAGAATAGGACCATTACTATACACAGACTCATACTGATGCACAAGAGAGTAAGAGAGGATGATTAAAGACATTATGTAGGAATCCCCTAAGATGGCATCAAATGAGACCTGCTTACTGATAGGCATTCCTGTATGTAATCCCCTTCCCTTGAATGGAGGCTTGGCTTAATGCTTACTTCTAAAAACCAGAATTTAGTATAAAGGATGTGTAATGGTTAGATTGAATGTCACCTTGGTGATATTTGTGTGGGGGTAGGGGTGGGGTCCCATCTGTCCATCAGCGTGGTGATGCCTCCCTCCTTATGAATATGACCTTTTTATAAGAGACAGTGAGAACGTCTCACTATTTTGCCCTTCACCTTCCTGCTTCCTTGATTCTGTGTCTGCCTCCAAGGGTGATTCTATGTGGGCTACTGAGTCTAGATGCTGTCAACACCCTGCCACATTCCCACCGACCTTGAATCCATGCAAGTCTGCACCCACCAGCCTGTGGTCTCCTCGTTCCTGCTCCATCTTTCTGTGTCGTCAGCCTGCAGCTACATGAGTCTGAAGAGGGCGCCAGCTAGCATCGAGCCCATGAAGTGGAGTTGAAATAGGCTGAGATGACTTCTCGATATAAAGTTTTGTCGTATACATATATGAGTGTCACTAGTTTTGCTTCTCTAGATAACCCAGCCTAATACAGGGTGGAATCTCATTTCTGAAAGTAGGTTATAAAAAGACTGTGGCTTCCGTCTTTGGCACCCTCTCCCTCTGGCTCTCTCTTGGATGACCAGCTGGCATGTGCTAAGGACCCTTGGGAAGCCTACCATGAGGCCCATGCAGTGAGGAACCAAAGACTGCCAGCAATGACATGAGTGAGTACAGAAATGGATATTCTGAGGACTATGAGAAGCCCCATGAATGAGCCTGGAGGCAGACTTCCCAGCCCCAAGTGAGAAATGAGATTACTACCGTGCTGGCCAACAACCTGACCAGACCAGACTGCGCAGAAGGCACCAAGTTAGACCTCATTCAGATTCCCCACCTCCAGCAACTGCTAGAAAATGAATGTTCATTGTTTTAAGTTAGGAAATTTTGATTATGTTTTGCTTCACAAATTCAGTAATTTGGTGCATAGTTAATCTGGCTCTCTATAAAGGTCTTATATACAGGATTTATAAAGAAAATTACTGAACCATAAAGATAAGCCTTTTTAAAATAAAGAAAAATAAAGAGGGAAAACTGAATATAGAAAGGCAAGCAATAGATTAAGTGCAATGAACACAGTTGTTATATAATATGAGACAGCTGAGACTAAATGTATAAGATGCATTAATAAAAGTGAATGAGCATATCTACTGGAAGAAAATTAGTTAAGATCGAATCATAAAGAGAAACCCAACTTTATGAAATGTAAAACAAGCACAGCTAAAACACAATATTTAAAAAGGCAAAAAAAAAATTAAGCATTCATCAAGCAAATGGAAGCTGTAACAGACTCCAGTTCTGATGTTCCATGGCTGTGCATTTTCAAGCTCTCCCCTCCCCTCCCTTTTATGGCCAACACCTGAAAAAGGTGATAAGGCCTGGAAATTTCCCCTTTGCACCAACTCACTCACTGCCATTGAGTGGACTCCAACTCGAGTATAAGCTGACCCGAGTATCAGCCGAGGCGCCTAAGTTTACCACAAAAGCTGCATTTAAATGTGCTGAAAAACTCGGCTTATAAACGAGTACATACGGTACCCTACAGGACAGGGTAGAAGCACCCTGTGGGGTTTCCAAGACTAACTCTTTAGAAGAATAGAAAGCCTCATCTTTCTCCTGAGAAGCAGCTGGTGATTTCAAACTGATGCACTTTGTGGTTAGCAAACCAACTCATAACCAACTATGCCACTAGAAATCTCAAACCACTCAAGCTCTGGCTTACATGCACACAGGCACCTTCATGATAGTAATGGATCTATTCATATATTTTAACTTCATAGCACACAACCACGCACCACAAAACAAAGTATGTATGAAATAACACACTGTATAAATATACCATATATATGAGGCAGCTTCAAAATGTTTGTAGAAAAATGGAATTACAAAATAATGAAATTTTCCCGTGAGCTTTTTGAAGCCCCTTTCTCTCCATCTCTGTCCCTATTAGGTAAAGAGATTCATACACTCATGCACATACATCTCTATATACATATGCACATACATATACTTATCACAAACAAACAAACTCAGTGCCATCAAGTCGATGCGCACACACAGCAACCCTATATGACAGGGTAGAACTGCCCCAGTGAGTTTCAGAGACTAACTGTTAACAGGAGTGGAAAACCTCATCTTTCTCCCGAGGCTCTGGTGGTTTCGAACTGCTAATCTTGTGGGTCATAGCCCAATGCATAAGAAAAACCACGCCACTAGCCTTGCACTGCTCTCTCAAGCCAGTTTTGAACTGCTTGTGAACCTTGCCTGCTCTCTACAGAAAGTCTCATTATATGAGTATTAATTTTTCCCATCCTTTTCATGCATGAGTGATGTCATAAGTCTCAATATCCAAAGAAAGTTTTGAGTAGAAGGGAAGCATCCATCTATGAGCAGGTGAGGGCAGTAGAAGAGATAAGAATACAGAGATCATGATCTTGATATCAAAATAGAACTCAGCCCCTCAATGTATTAAACAAGATAAAAAAGAATGTTTTATATTACTTAGATCTGTAATTCACAATATATAACAGTTACAAATATATATGCATCAAATAGCACAATCACCACCTAAGTAAAAATTATAGGCTATGCAAAGGGAAATAAATAGGTCTACACAAATAAGATTTTGGCTTACTCCTCTCAGCCCAAGACATTCCAGAGAACAAAAAATAAGTAAAGCAATTCAAGAGCTAAACAACATAATATATCAAATAGGTTTAGGATGATAAAGATTACACACTACTAATAGAAAATATACCTCCTGCATATGGAGCATTCACCACTATATGTTCCTGCATATGAAGCAAATGAAACATTCGTAAAGATTTGGTCATATATTGTAGAACAATGAAAACATCAGTGGTTTCATGAAGTACAGTACGTATATAGCAAACAATATACGATCACAATGCAATAGAACTAGCAGTTAAAAAATCCAAAGAAACAAAAATAGCTTAAAAGCCCTCTCACTGGGAAATTAAAATTCTTTTAAAATAACTCTTGAGTGAGGAGATCCCCTTGCAGAGGGGTCTAGGGGAGGAGATGAGCCAGTCACGGTGCGATGTAACAATGATGAGAAATACAACCTTCCTCTAGTTCCTAAAGGTTTCCTCCCCGCTCCCACTACCATGACTCGAATTCTATCTTGCAAGACTGGCTAGACCAGAGGAGGTACACTGGTACAGATAGGAACTGAAAATACAGGGAATCCAGGACAGATGAGCCCTATAGGACCAGTGGTGTGAGTGGCAAAACAGGGAGGGTAAAGGGAGAATGGGTAGGGAAGAGGGAACCGATTACATGGAACTGTGTGTGACCTCCTCCCTGGGGGACAGACAACCAAAAAGTGGATGAAGGGAGACGTCGGACAGGGCAAGATATGACAAAATACCCATTTATAAACTATCAAGGGCTCATGCGGGAGGGGGGAGCGGGGAGGGAGGGGAAAAATGAGGACCTAATGTCGGGGGTTTAAATGGAGAGAAAATGTTTTGAGAAACGATGTACAAATGCGCTTTACACAATTGATGTGTGTATGGATTGGGATAACAGTTGTATGAGCCCCTAATAAAATGTTAAAAAAAAAAAAAGAACTTAAAAAATGTATTAACTTATAAAAACAAAAACAAAACAAAAAAAACCTTAAAGGCAGTGTATGAAAACCAATATATTAATTTATATTAGGTGAACCGTGAATATGTTATAAT